ATACATTACACCTGTTCTGCTTATATCTGCATTGATTGTGATTTCGCCAACCACAGGTAATGCATGCCTTTGACGATTTTGTTGCGTTTTCTGATCGCTGTTTTTCCTACTGTCGCTGTTGTTGTTGTTGTAGCGGCTACAACAACCCCGCCCAGATCGGTTGGTATCTCAGTCGTTGTCGTCAAGTTCCACTAACGGCAACCCTAGGAAGCGTGCAGCTTCTGTGGGGTTTGTCCACAGGGACAAGGCCGTTAGGGTCGTCGGGTTTTCCGGGCATGCGAAGAGATGTTTCGAGTCATGTGGGGTCTCTCCCGCATGCCGGACACTCATTCGGCACATCCTCATTCAACCTACTCAAGTAGGAGTTCAACCTGCTGCAGTAGCCGGAGCGAAGTTGTGCGAGTGTAGTGCGTGTCTCCCGAGGCAGATGAAGCTCCGTCTCGTCTATGTCCGGGGGTGGTATGCCTTGAACGGCATTCACAGGTCTAGAGTCTACATAACTCGAGACTGAGTCCCTGTGAATGCCGTTCAGGGCCTGTCTGTAAGCTGTCGGGTCCAGAGGTTGCTTGATGAACCTCTGGACTTCGTCCGTCAGTTCATATAGATGCGTCCTGACGTGCCTAGGCGAGGGCTCCTCTGCAAGCAGCGGTCTGCTTGGGTGGCCACTTCTGTGGCTCCCTATCAGGAACTGCTTGCAGAGCATTATATTATGCTCCTTTACAGGTAGCATTTGCGCCTCGCCGTGCAGGTGGTCTTCAGGCGACATCAAGAGGCATCCCGTGGCTGTCCTGAGTGCGGTGTTCTGTACAGTCTGTAGCTTCGTCCACTGCATCCTACTAGTCCCTGGCGACCACACTGGCGCTGCGTAGTTCAAAACCGGCCGGGCTATTGCCTTGTATGTTGCCAGCAACGTTTCTTTGTCTTTGCCCCAAGTACTGCCGGCTAGCGACTTGAGGACCTTGTTGCGGTTCTGTACTTTATTGACAATAGCGGTTGAGTGCGCAGAGAAGGAGAGCAGGCTGTCGAATGTTACTCCGAGTATTTTGGGGTTATTCACCGTCGGAATTGGTGTGTCATCGACGTGAATCCCCAGCGGTAGCCTGACCTCCTTCGTCCAGGTTGTGAACAGGGTCGCGGAGGATTTCGTAGGGGAGAGGGCTAGACACTTTGCAGTGAAGAAGCGAGAAAGTTCGGAGAGATAGCCGTTTACTTTCGAACACAGGTCATCAATTCCATTCCCAGTCGCCATGATCGAGCAATCGTCGGCGTAAGAGACAATCGAGACTCCCTCTGGTGGTTGAGGGAGCTTTGAAATGTAAAAGTTAAACAGTAGCGGGGAAAGGACAACACCCTGAGGAACCCCCTGTTTTATTTTTCGCTGTTTACTCATTTTGTCTCTTAACATTACCGACGAATGTCGACCACTCAGATAATTTGCCGACCACCGTTTGAGCCTCTGTGGGAGAGAGGAGGCATCTATATCTTCTAGTAGCGTGGAATGGCAGACGGTGTCAAACGCCTTTGACAAGTCCAACGCTACTAGAATCGTTCTCTCACAGGGACGGTTACGGTTAAGGCCACGAGTTATCTGAGTGTTTATGGCGTTAAGTGCTGTTGTTGTACTGTGCACTTTACGGAAACCATGCTGATGCTTCGCTGGGGTCAGGTGGTTTGTGAAGTGCGGGAGTAGCAAGGCCTCGAATGTCTTCGCTACCGGGGAAAGGAGTGTAATCGGACGATACGAATTTCCTTTGTTGGCAGGTTTCCCCGGTTTGAGCAGTGGGACCACTCTCCCCACCTTCCAGATGTCTGGGATGATGAGAGTGGCCATTGACAAGTTGAGGACCTCCGTTAGGTACGCCACCCCCGCAGGACCCAAATTTTTCAGCATCAGCATGCATATTCCGTCGGGACCCATGGCTTTGGAGGCTTTCGCCTTCCCGATGGCCACCTGAACTTCACCGCAAGTGAAAGCAAGGGGGGCACAAGTTGTTGGCAGTTTTTGCAGCCTTCTGGTCACTCGACGCTTGGCTTTGTCCACCGGAGGATGCAGTATGAACTGCCGGCTATAATAGCTCGCGCATCGCTCCGGGTCCGACGAGGCATGGTCGCCGAAGGAAATTTCGACTCTGTCGTCGTGCTTCGTCGGATTAGACAATGACCTCACGGTTGACCAAAGCTTGCTCACACCAGAGGTGAAATTACAAGTCTTCAGATGCTCCTCCCACTTCTTCCGCTTATGTACGTTTACAAGTTGCCGAATCTCCGCGTTGAGATCCCTGATACGGGGATCTCCGGGATCGGCCTAACGAAGGCTATCACGCTCATCGGCTAGAACAGCCGCTTCGGCAGGGAAGTTTGGACGTGGGTCCGATATACATCCTGCCGGTATGAAGCGAGCTGCAGCAGCAGTGATAGCCCTGCGGAACTTACGTTCACCGAGATGGACGTCGGTTGGTGTGGGGAGCGCTGCGAAGGTGTTTTCGGTAAACTCCGCGTAACCTTTCCAATCAGCTTTAGAAAAGTTGATATAGGTCCGGTGTTTGGCGGAGGCAAAGTCGGTTGGTTTCTCAATCGAGATGACTATGGGTAGATGGTCTGATGCTAGAGTCAGCACAGGTCGCCACATTATGCTGTTTATCAGACCAGCGCTGACTATAGTGATATCTGGCGAGCTACTGCAGTTACCCATAATCCTGGTGGGTGCGTCGTCGTTCATTGTGCAGAATGTCGAATCGTCTATCTGCTCAGCCAAGTCTGTTCCCCTACGATCGTTTGACAGGCTTGAGTGCCAAAGATCGTGGTGCGCATTGAAGTCACCTACTACCATACGGTTTTCACCTCTGAGGAGCGCACCTATATCAGGGTGATATCCTGCCGGGCAGCAGGTGACAGGGGGTATGTATATGTTAAATATTTCGAGCTCGACATCGCCTGACCGGATAGAGATGCCCTGACATTCTAGGGTGGTATCCCTGCGGTCGATGTCTGCTTCGATAAGACGATACTGCACGGTGTGGTGCGTGATGAACGCTAAGCCACTGTAGCATAAGCACATCGCCCTTTTTACTTTAATTGTCATGTGCACATAAGTAATGTATAAACAAATAGGAATGTACACAAACAACAGTTTACCCAAATCAGTTACATTGAACTCAGCGGGAGTTTATGCAAAGACTGCATTCATCGCACATAGCGAGGATCTTGTTACACTTGTGCGGACGGTCAAAGACACCGCCAAAGACAGTCACAGTGACTAACTGATCCACAACGTCAGTTTGTCAATGCGACTGACATATTTATATATTTATTGCAACCATATGTTGACTTAGCATATTTTAGAGTTATGTAGTTAGTTTGTAGGTATTAGTAGTATATTTGTATACATTCTAGTTCGTAAATAATTTGTAAGTGTTAGTGTAAGAATTTGGTATAAAAGAAAGTGAAATCAATAAAGTAAACCAATTGGTGATCAAACTCCAACCAATAACTTATTATTTGCTATATGGCGATCCTGCCAGGCTCATAAAATAAATAAAAATTATTGGCTTTAAAAGGCGATACCGCCAGCCGAAAAATAATTAAAAATTTTTATAAAAT